AGGGCTTATTTGCCTACAGAGAGGGATGCCTGCCTTGGACGGTGGACTTAACTAAAACGGAAAAACGAAACAAACGTTAAATGAAATGAATTCTAATTACTGCTTTAATAATTATGATGCACCTGATACAATTACTCTCTTAATCCTTTGACTTCGAATCAAAAATATCACACAGTTTTCTATCCAGGTGAACAAAATAGTCATAAATAAGGTAAATTTGGCATTTTTTAACAAACGGTGTTCAAGAAAATGGCTGGGACACATATGTCTCAGCCGTAGTTAATGGTGGGATACATATGTCTCACATGTAGCGATCAACGTATTATAAGCACACCTATTATCCTGGAAAACTTTAAATCCGAAAAACAAATCTGAAGCAGATTTACATCGTATGGTACAAGGCACAGCATTTTTGCATAACCCAACAATACAGTATGGGCAACTGATATTTGCTCTTTTCTCTATCTTCGTTTGTATATAACAAGCATAGCGGCGTCTTCATTTTCCTACTATTGAAAGATGAGCCCCAACATTCAGGAGATTCTAAATATTTTTTAACCCAGCGGTCGTTTTTAAACTTTTAGTGTGATATTATATGGCCCGTTAGTACTCAAAGGCTCAAGCTATTTTTGCTTGGGACAATGTCTGACGCAAGTCGTTAAACGTTTCGCGGTAAGCAGTGCAAAGATGTTCACTGCCTGTCAATTTTCATTACATTCATTTGGGTGAATCTCAATTACAAAGTCACACAGATCCTGTGCCTTTTTTAACAATTCCTTTAATTTCTTGTTCATGAAAGGCTCTATCTTCTTCATTATCGCTGCTCTCACCGTCGGTTAGTGTTATAAGATCAATCGATTCTTCAGTTGTCATTTCACGATCGTCATATATGACAAATTCTTTGAGTTGAAAATCCTGCGCCGCTTATTGCTTTTGCAATCTGTATGATTTCCTTGCTTCAGTTGAGAGAAATCCTTTAAAATTGTTGACAGCTTGCAGAGCTGATATCAGCAAGTATTCATCGTCGATGAATTCACTAGTTCTCATTCGAGTTTACCCACTTCTATGCAGTGTCTTATGTTGAACATCGCTTCCATTAAGCATTACTGAACATGGCTTACGTAATTACGGCAAAGCTTTGAGGGCTATATTGCCTAATGGGATGGATGCCTTCGTGAAGGACGTTTTAAGGGAAACTGGCTCGTATACACGTTACACACGGGGAAAACCACGAAAACGTCCATGCGACCAGCCTCACTGCGGGATTTGAACCTCGGACCGAACTACCAGTGTTCAGCGACTTTACCGCTTGGCCACTCGTGGGCCCACCGAAAGGGAAGGATACCTTGACGGAGAACTTTCTAAGGGAAAGTGGCTCATATTTGTGTTACGCATAGGGAAAACCTTGAAAATGTTCATGCAACAAGTCCGTTCAAGGGATTTGAACCAAAGACAAACTACCAGTGTTCAACGGCTTTACTACTTGGCCACTAGTGGGTACGCAAAGTCAAAGGCATGCATAGTGAGTTCGAATATTATTTGAATGTAGCTTTCAATAAGTAAAAAATGAATTAGGGGTTAAAACTCTTATCTCTCGAAAGTTTATACAAGATAAGATATCCAAAACAAGTAAATGTTGATGCATTTTATTTGACAACGATAGAAAGAGAGAGATAAGCACTAATGTAATTTACAACTTCCATCCACAAACTGATTATCATAAAAGTAGGGAGTGTACTTCTTTGGTAGGGATTTCAGACAGTACTACCTGGCCACTGGTCTATTTTTTTAAATCAAAACTGATCAAGCCAGACAACGCACTAGACGAAGGCAAGCACGACACAGCACTGGCATTTTGAAAACAATTCGACATAAGACATTACATAAAAATGATTAAATTCGCATGGGAACAATTGAATTCATCAACAATTAATGCTTGCTGTCATCAGCCCTGGCAAGAAGTTGTCAACAGTTCCAAGGATTTCCATCGACTGGAAAAGGAAGCCAAAGGAATCCTACGAATTGCAAAAGCAATTACCGACGGAGAATTTTCAAATATGGAAGAAGACTTGAAAGAATGAACCGAGAAATGCTAAATGAAGTATTGGACGATATTAAAACACCAGCTGATATTCAGCTGATTGTGAAAGAAGTGATCATGAAGAAGGTAAAACGCGTTCAACTTAGAAAATATACATAGGATCTGTCTGATCTTGTAAAGGAGATTGACCCAAATAAAGAAAGAAGAAGAAAGAAGAAGACAGAAGAAACTTTGCATCAGAAATGTCTGAAGCAAAAATCACTACGTAATTAAAACGAATAATTGTATCATGTATCTATTTATTAAGGGGTGTTAAAACCCCAAAATCTTCAAAAAATAGTGATTTCGGATTTTTGCATTTTCAAATTCTCTACACTTTTTATCTTTTTAAAAATACCATTCTTTAATCTCTATGAAAATTAGAACTTTAAAAAAATCTAGTTTTAATATGTCATCGACTGCTTTGATCAATGAGGATTTTTACATAAAAACGCTTTTTTCTCCAAACGTGATTTTTTTATACTAGATGTACCTTTTCTCAGGAACTACTGCTCACAGGTATCAAAATTTTATGGCTTATTTATTAGGTTTATTAATATTTACTGAAATGAGCTTTTTGCGATAAAGTTAGAATAAAAAAATTTAAAAAGTTTTTTGTGTCGGAAAAGTGCTAAATTTTACTATGCCTAACAAAATATTCTGAAAATTACTCTAAAATTCAAAATGTTTCAAAAGCTTATTTCAGTATAATCAGATAGGTATACTTTAATTACACAAAAAATTTCAAGCGTGTATCTACAGCATATTTTGAGAAAAGGTACATCGAAAATGGCCAATTTAACATTGTCGGTATAGGAACTTCTGATACCCCTTAAGTTTTTACTTTCTATTTTTTGCTTCGAATGGCAGACTACAAAGACAAATGTATGCAGAACAAGCAAAGATGAGAGAGAAAAGCAAAACTAAAAAAAAAAAAAAAAAAAAAAAAAAAATTCCACAGATTCTGTACATCTGTTTTGTCTGTCGCCTCCCAATATCTCTCCCTGAGTGATCCAGCATTAAGTACAGGGCAACGACTCGGGTATGAGGCATTCGCTTCCTCGTTAACGTTGCACAATTTACAAAGCGGGATTGAGAAAATATACAAGGCAATTCATGGCCAGTAACGAGACGAAAGATAGCAAGATTTCTTTCTAGGTCATAGAGGAATGTCAAAAATTCTGTCAAGTTTCGCAGTTTCGTAGCGCCCTTGTGTATTGTCAGCTTCACGCGGCAATTAGTGAAACCTTAAACGACGAAATTGGTGAAAGCAGACTCCAACTGATATATCTATTTATTAAGTAGTGATCAAAATCCTTTCAATAATAATTCGTTTTATTTTTCCCATTTAATTATAATAACGTTTAGGTTTATTTAAATTATATATTCTTTCTTATTAGGAACTAAACCATTTCCTCCACGGAAAGTTAACTTTGCAAAGCACGATTTTGTTGTAAGCGCCACGTGCTACTATATTTACGTATTTTGTACGTAGTTATAACATATTGCATAATTATATTTCATTTTTCGAATAAGGTGTAGAGTACCTCACTTTGGAATTCTAATTTAATGTTGGAAGTGAGGAATCTAAGAACTGATAAGCGAATAATCGCTAGAGTTCGGTGACAAGAAACAACAAGATAGAAGGGTAACTAACCCTTTATTATTCTAAAAAGATTTAACAAAACTCCGCCTGGAAGTGTACAAGCACAGCCCGCACTTGGACTTGAACTAAAAAGACTAAGATTTAAACTAAAACTAAGATTAACTAGAGAATTATAGCCGAAGCTATCAAGGTTCAATTCGAGTTGGCCCCTTAACTTATTTTGCTACGAAGGTTAGCAAGGGCCTGAGTACGGCCGGAGCGTAATAACAGCTTTGAGAGAGAGAGCGGCCAAAAAGGCAGACGCGCGTAAATCAGAAACTCTGATTCTCTCTGACTCAGTAAGTAACTTCGTGGTTTAAATACCGCTCCTCCTCATTAAATATTCAGCAAATTCCAAAACAAAGTTCTGGCCGGAAGTAGTAAGTTGAAGTTAAGAATTTGACAGGAAAGGAACTTTAATTTAAAATTTAACTGTTAATAAAATTAATATAATCCTTACAAAGGTCATCAATTTACGTTGAAATATTCACACTCGAAGTTATTATAAGTGAGCATATAAACTAAACCGGGATTTTAAAACTAAAATAATAATTATATACTAAGTATATAATCTGAAAACTGTAAGTTTATAAAATTTATCAAGTTTATAAAATTGGGTTTATTAGCATTATCGTTAAAAGTAAGAAATAAGTCATTATAACTGAATGTCACTTCATTTGAATAAAACGCATCTGATATAATTGAAAATCAAGTAATAAATAAAAAATAAACTTTTCTTGATCTTAAACTAAAATAAGTATATTATTCTTTCTGAAAGGTACGTTCAGGCCTTTAATATTACCTTCTCGAATTCTAAGTAAATTCAAAAACGTAAAGAGCAAATTTACTTCCATACACTTTTTATATTTAATTTAATACAGGAAAGTACACTTAACTTTTATTCTAAGACATATCTTTTGGTAGAACAAGATATACAACACATAAAAGAATCAAAAATACAAAACAAAATTAAGAAAAAGAGAAAACTTCTTTTGAAATGTAAAGAATTAGAACACATAACTTAACATGCACAGTAAATGAAAAGTGGAAGCAAGGCGAAAAAAAATAATAAAACGAAATAATAATAATAATAAAAAAAAGCATTCTCGGGAGCTTTAAAACGCGACTGAAGATAAAGAAAAATTCAAAATAAAATTACATGAATATTTTAAAAAGAGTGCTAGAAATGTAGCATTAAGAGTTTGAGAAACTGTAATAATAATAACAAAAAATTAATAATAATAATAAAAAAAGATATATACGAGAATGACTTACGTTGAAGTAGAGATCTGGATTAGAATCATCAAACTCCAACGCTCTCTGATACATTGCCTCGGCTTCCTTCGTCCTGATGCAGAAAGTCGAAAAAAAACAAAAAAGGAAGAAAAAAAAATCCTTCAGAAATGAAATGAAATGAAATGAATAAATTTACTTCTTAGGCAGATTCTAAAGTAAACACGCTATACTCTTTTTCCAGGGAGGGGGAGACACGCTTCGTCTGAAAAGCAGCATCTTCTCTCCTAAGATGTTTTAATATTCATGAGATTTTGCGATTGCTTTTTCAATCGCTTTCGGTTTTCTCTCCCCCCCCTCCATTCCCGTTTACGACTCGCTTTTATCCTTAGCTAAGAAGACGAATTAGAAAAATTTTTAGAAATGTATTTCACAGGGAAAGAATCAGAAATAGGGATTTTTCATTTCTCTTCCCCCCCCTCCGTTTTATTTCTTCTTTCGATGAAAGTTTATAAAGAGTGACACTGAGCCGATAAAAGGTTAGATCATGGTTAAGTAAAAACTTGTTGGTTAAAACACTGCGGAGTAACATAAAATATTTATTTATTGGTAAAATGTGGTTTCAGCTACGAACATTTTCTCCATACGCTAAAACATCAAACGAAAAATTTATATTAAAAAAAAAAAAAAAAAAAAAAAGACAAAGGATTCAGTTTATTAACGTTGCACTGCATCGATCCCCAATCTTTTCTCTACCTTAAAGCACATTCTAGAATACCAGTGAGACGCGGACACAGTTATGTTTTCAGGTTGACATAGATAATAATACACATAATATACACCATAAATATTGCAAAAATTTATATTTAAAATAAAAGACTTAAAGGATTGAGTTTATTAACGTTGCACTGCATCGATCCCCAATTTTTTTTTTTTACCTTAGAGCACATTCTAGAATACCAGGGAGACGGCGGACACAGTTATGTTTTCAGGTTGACGTAGATAATAATACACATAATATACACCATAAATATTGCAAAAATTTATATTTAAAAAAAAAAGACTTAAAGGATTCAGTTTATTAACGTTGCACTGCATCGATCCCCAATCTTTTCTCTACCTTAAAGCACATTCTAGAATACCAGTGAGACGACGGACACAGTTATGTTTTCAGGTTGACATAGATAATAATACACATAATATACACCATAAATATTGCAAAAATTATATTTAAAAAAAAGACTTAAAGGATTGAGTTTATTAACGTTGCACTGCATCGATCCCCAATTTTTTTTTTTTACCTTAGAGCACATTCTAGAATACCAGTGAGACGGCGGACACAGTTATGTTTTCAGGTTGACATAGATAATAATACACATAATATACACCACAAATATTCCAAAAATATCCTTTTAAGATGTAAAAATCATTGATTGTATTCTTAGGTACAATTGCTACATAAAACAAACACAGATTTACAATTTGTTGGTATAAAAATTCTTTATAAAAATGTATTACTTCGAGTCAGTGAGATATTTATTTATTTTATTATTATTTATTTATTTATTTATTTTTTACAGTAAAACAAAATTGTCTAAAAATTGTACGACCAGCCTTTGTAAATGAGGATTCCTCTTCATAAATGGCACCCCAATGCATGTATAATGTCACAAACAATGGCATATATATGTACGTACAATGGCATACAGTATGAGAACAGGAAGGCATTAAAAACATTTTAAAATTTATGTGTATTAGACATTTTTTAATTTTTAACAAGTAACCTGAACAATGTGACAAACGTTCCGCAATCATGTCTTTGAACTGGGACAATTCAGGTCCAAACGAGATGTTTGGTAAGCCCATTTAAACTTATATAATTATACAAATAATATTTTAAACGAAGACGCTTTTATTTCTCTAATTACTGTATAAAACAATTTATATATCATTTTATTAAAAACTTAAATATTTTTTTTAATCCCGCACGGTAGCTGTGGATTTTTTAATCAATATTCATCGTATCCGGGCGTAATGGTGCCCGCGGAAATAGAGTTGGGAACCCCTGCACTAGAGGGTTTGTCAAAGTTTTATATACTCTCATTGAGGTCGTAGTTTATAAATCTGCTCTTGAATTTAGTTCTGTTGGCACAACGTTTTTCGTCTTTTTAACCTTGCATTAAACATTACATTTTACAAATTAATGCCACGTTAAATTTAGAAGTAAAATCACAAAATTTTTGATAGCATATTTTTAAAATTAATTATAAGGTGTTGCCATATTTTTTTTTTAAATTTCTTTTCGATCTTAAACAAACACAAGCAATTCGGCCAAAGAGCAGGAAGACCAAAATTTCCTTGCACCAAATTGAGAGTTAATCATACTTTTGAACATATTGGGCAAAAAACACTGAAGTTAGGGCACCCAACTGACTTAATTCACTGTTCTACTAAGAATTTAAAATTTAAAAAAGTGACGGCCTTGCTAGGCCTAGCACCCCTTAAACGTTTAAATTTTTGATAATTCTACAACTATTGTACGCTGATGAACTAAAGGCATAAAAACCCTAACCGGAACATAGTAACAGCATAATTCAATCTCTTTTAAAGTAGAAAAGGCCCAGTTTACCAAGATATAAAAATAAAAAACTAGACTCACCGAGTCGAGTAACATAGTGGCAATATATATACGTTTGGTGCGGCCGATTTCAAAGAAAGAAGGTGGTGCATATCTACAAATTATAGCAGTCCCATATAAAAAATTTCAGCGTTCTGTGGCTAGTCGGTTTTCAGTTATACGAGTTACGTACGTACAAACGTCACGGAAAAAAACCATATTTTAAATCCATTTTACAACCCGTTGGAAGAAAATATGTCCTTTATTCTGTTCATACGTACAGATGTCACGCAAAAAAATGGCAAATGGATTCTAGAGCGGTCAAAATGGATATTTTGGTAAAAAAGAGGGAATATATTGCATTTCATTTGTTTACTACTGTAAAGAAACTTTAATACATATGCTGTTTCTAAACCTATACCAAATTAATGAAATATTTTGAGAAAAAAAAATGAAAAGAAGTTTTTGATCTGTTCTGAATACAGCGCTGCGCAGTGCAGCTGCCATTCTGTTCTCTAAAATCGAACAACGTGGAATTGATACTTGACAAGAATAAACCTCAACATCCATCGACAGAAATACCCCAGAAACATATTGGATTAAAGCTTTAAAGAGAAATATTCCGAGTATGTCGCTAAAATCGAACTGAGAGAGAGAACTTTGTCAACTGGAAATACGAGCTCTATTTCCGGATTTTAGTGATGCATGTCTATCGAAGCAAAAGCAAAAACGAATCGATACTTTTTTCCCTCCAGGAAAACAGGATGAAAATATGGATATATAAACAGAGTCACACGAAGCGTGCGTACCTTAGAAACTCGAAGCTTGATATGAATAAGTTTTAAAGGATAATGAGTAAGGTCGCATGGTATGCATAAAGTGCCACCGCTTCCTTTTTGTGCCTGCTTTCGTTGTTTAAGAAATAATGCACAACGTATGTATATGCTGCACTTTTAAATATATAGATAGATAGAAAGCTACAGATATATCAAGCTTTAAAACGATACAATTAAAGTTTAATACGAATTCAGGATCTGTATTTCTAGAATATTTATTGTATAGTTAAAAACATCCACGTACATTTTTAATATTTTCATCACAGTATTAACACAGAGATATACGTATGTTGTAGAGACATCAGGTAAATTTTCGAAGCCAGAGAGATGAAAAATTAGGACCCGCCTTCGCAAGGAATCGAACCACGGTCCTCTGGAATACCGGCCCAGCGTGCTACCGTTACACCACGAAGGCACGCCAGCGAAGTGGGAGAAATACCTTATATACCCCCTTTTTAAAGGGCGACTAGGGTTTTAGGGGACCTAGTCGCCCTTCCTGGGTGTGGAGAATCATCATCCCCAACCCTTTTATTTCGGGCGCCACTTGTAGAATCATTAGGTTTATTGGAAGCAGAAAAGATGAAAAATATGCAACCTCCTTTGCCGAGAATCGAACCACGGACCTCTGGAATACTTGCCCAGCGTGCAGAATTACTACACCACGAAGGCACGCTAGGGAAATGGGAGAAATACCTTATAATATAAAATGTAAAATATGAAACAAAATTAGTATACTTAATTGGAACCAACTGGCAATAGATATTTAAATTCATAAATTTTAATTAAACATATTTCTGCTTCAAAATGATGCTTTGCTGTATTTTTCATTACTCTGCAAAGCATGTTCGTACATCACTCTTTCCCCGCAGTTTATCTACACTGCAACACGTTTAGCCAAATCGCTGCTGAGGATTGAAACAATGATTTTCCGGGTTATAAATATGACCGTAGTTAGTAAGCAGCACATTTTTCTCGACTGCCCGCTGCTTGAATAAACCCCTTCTCTCCCTTCATCTTCTTTCTTTATTATCTGAAATATAAACTGCATACACCTCCGAGATAAAACATTATGACCATTCCCACATTTTTCAATGAACTCGTCTGGATGACGTGGAGGACACGTGATGAAATGGGAAGAGAAGTTAAAGAATCATTCTTGCACTTAAACTTTTGCAAGTGATGGGAAAGGCTGGTGATCTAAGAGAATCTGATACATGGCAGAGTGTAATGGTCTGTGACGAATTCGAAAGACAAGGGAATAAATTTATTTCGGTTTTTTCTAGGCTATATGCAAATAAATAAATAAATAAAGTTATAAAATATTGTTCTCACAGTAGGGTGAATAAGTTTCTGTTTAGATGAAAGTTCTTGTTTGGAAATAGTTCAAGATGAGGGTAGGCTCAAGATGAGGCTGTCTTGAATAAATCGAATCTCTAAGGCGGTGGTTGCCGGACTGAGCTGTGTCCGAGTAGGATGCTTTTCGTAAGGTAGCGGCGAACCCGGCTACTTCGCTGTAAATCTCTTGGCAGATATATTAATATCGCTCTACGCAGAGCGAAGCAAAAATTTGCTCGTGGCCGAGCTGGAAAAAACCGAGAGAAGGTTTCTCTCTCTACTTACTGCAACTAACATTCACTTTTTTCCCCTCTGGAACTGGGTTTC